AAGTGAGAAGGATTTCAGTCTGCCATAACTTGTTCTCACCTTGAATATCCAGCAGCTCATGCTTCAATCGGGGTCAACTGCTCCTTCACTCTGACAGTTTTTTTTCTGCATCCCTCCCTGTTTTTGCACAGATCTAGAAGAACTGGATGTAGCAGAATCCAGCCTTTTCCTAGTATACCATCATGGTGTCACAAGTGGGACATGTCAGGCAGATCCACTGGGTCACTTCAGACCACATATATTTTTTATATGTACTTTTATGTGCATTGGTGTTTTGCCTGAATGTATGTCTGTGGGTGGTGTCAGATATTGAAGTTACGTGCTCTTAACTGCTGAGCCATCTCTCCAGCCTACATATATATATTCTAAAACATAACCTGCTCAGTCTGTATGTTTGTATGTGTGGTATGTTTTCAGGGGTGACTGTTTGGCATTGGATAGCCAGTTGCTGTGCTCTTGGGAAGACAAGACTATTCCGCCCACCCTCTGCATTCCTTACTTGCCTGTAGTTCTTTATCTAGGGCTGAGTCCTCATGGGATTTCTTCTGTTTAACATGCCTCTTATCTTTGTTCAGCTCATGTTTCAGCATCATAGTTGAGGTTTTATGAGTACAGCTTCTGACTGTGTTAGGAGACAGTCTCAGAGCAAACTCTCTGATCTCTGGCTCTTAAGAGTCTTTCCACCCCACACATGTTCCCTGAGTATTAGGTATAGAAGTGTTCTGTAGATCTATCTGTAGCTATACTCCATTGGCTTTGAGTTCCCCAGCTTACCATTTTGATTGATTTGGTTGTCTCTGTTGCAAAGATAAGTTTCCTTGATGAGAGGTTAGAACCACATTTACCTGTGGGTATATGGACAACTATTTAGAGTGTAGTTAGAGACCATGCTGTTTTGGTAATAAGATCAATGACTTTACTAGCTCTGGGTACTTGGCTAGGTTTCCGATACCAGGCATAATTACCCTTGTTAAGTGAGTCTTAAGTCTAGTTGAAAGCTGTTAGTTACCACCAAAGCATATGCGCCACTACTGCACCGTTAGTGTCATGCCATGCTGGTCATTGGTGTGGTTCACAAGCATGACAGCTGTGTAGGACTGTTGGTTTCCTCCCTCCTTTGAAAGCTTACATGGAGTCTTCTAATGCCTTGAAGGCTAGTTCTCAGGGAAGAGACAAGTCAGTTCCCGGCTCAGCAGTGGGAAACTTAGCTTTGATCTCTGGGGCAACCAAAGTCAATAAGAACAGTCTGTCTGTTTTATGAGTCTCTTGGACAGCCCTGACCCAACCACTCAAGAGGGTTTCTCCTGTCTCGTGTTCATAGATATTTATTATTATTATTATTGGAAGTGTTGTTGACCTGTATTAGAAAATTTCATTTAAATGTATCATAGTTTTTTAAAAAAATGGCTAATATGCCTTTTTTCATTTCCCTGCATTCTATTTTCCTCCTATTGCTCCCTCACCCCCTACCCCAGGCAGTGGTCCCTTTTTATTTTCCTGCTTTTTGAAGTTACTCCAGGATAAGTACTCTGAACATTTGGAGGTAGGAGCCTCCAAAGAGAGAGCATAAGGTGTTTGTCATTTCTCACTCAGTATGATCTTTTCTAGTTCCATCCGTTTACCTGCCGAGTTTATGATTTCATTTTTCTTTGGCTCTTGGGAGCATTGTCAGTCTGAATAAGTAGTCCAAAGTGTAAATGTATACCTTCATTTGGTTGAAGGACATTTTAGGCATTTCCATTTCTTAGTTACTGTGAATAGAGTAGCAGTGAACGAGGCTGAGCAAGTATCTGGAATAGGCTAGATTGTGTTCTTTGGACATATGCCAAGCAGTGTATGGTTGGGCCATACATACAGTTTTTTGAAAATTTCCACACTGATTTATTTCCATAGTGGCCGTGCCACTCATTTTTACAGTATACTTTAGAAAGACTATTACTTTTAACTTTGCTACATTATCTTAAAAAGGTAAATAAATTTTGATATCGACAGATTGGTATTGCCAGTCTTCTTTTCAGAAGGAAATTGGATATTTTACATCCTTTAGGGAAGTGTTTAAGGGTCCTTGTGATTTCAAGTATACATAGCAATTTTCCAAGTGCTACATGAAATAGAATGTTTTAGCTGGTTGGATGTTGAGACAATGCAGAACCAGCTTTCTATTGTGGCCCTTTAAGATTTTCAGTAAAATATTTTATAAGTATCTAAGAATTTTGCTGGTTTATAACATGGAAAAAGCATTGCAAATAAAACCTACAGAAGCAAAACATGTTGGGATCCAGGAAATTACTAATAAATCACAAAATTAGAATAACCTTCACAAATTTGCGTGTTATCCTTGTATAAGGACCATGCTGATTCTGTCTGTACTGCTAAAGTGAGCTCCCTGATATATAGGTCCCCTTGAGAAACCATAGCCTGAACAGAAGCATTTGTCTCCTATACTGGCCTTTCGGGGTGAACCCTAAATCTAGTTTCCTTAATTTCTAGGCCGGTATCTTTTCTTAAATGCAATTGCAAACCAGCTGCGGTACCCAAACAGCCACACTCACTACTTCAGCTGCACCATGCTGTACCTATTTGCCGAGGCAAACACTGAGGCAATCCAGGAACAGATCACGAGGTGAGATATTTACTGTCAAGATGCCTTAAAAGGGCTCTTCTCTCCTGTATTCTGTTTGTAGCCCTGGCTGTCCTGGAACTCATTCTGTAGACCAGGCTGGCCTCAAACTCAGAGATCCACCTGTCTTGCCTCCCAAGCCCTGGGGTTAAAGGTGTGCGCCACTGCTGCCTGGTTTGTATTTTGAATGGAGTTCTATGCATTCCCCACTTTACTATCCTAGAAAACCAGGTCTGAGGAATTATAAAACAAGTTGATACTGGCAGTAGTTTGCTCTGAAAAGCTGTGGACTAGTTTATGGTAAAAGTAACATTAGTTTCTTGGTGGTAGCACTGGCCATGAATCTGAATAATGCAGATTTCCTTTGTTTTAAGGTCTTAAAAGGTTATATTTTGCTTTCTTTTTAAACTATGTATAGGAAGTTGGTGCATAATGTATTGGGGTGCACATACCTTGAAGCTCTAATTTACCTATTCACCCGACTATCTGGCACCCATGATCCTTATATATACCTGAACTGTGTTTTATTGCATGCTTGAATAACTGTGTATCATTTTGTTTGTAATTATGTCTAAAGCTGCAGCAAAGGCTTTGATCCTTTTTTTTTTGCCCCCAGGAAATAAGAAGTGTGAGAACATAGAATTTGCTACTAGCAGGTCACATATAGGAAGAATTTCACCCATTTACATATGCTAAATGTTTAAAAATCCTAAGTGGATTAATAAAGGCAATGGAGGCGTAGTTGTGATTTTGTTTCTTTATATATTAACTAACTCTTCTGTACCCCATTTTAGGGTTCTCTTGGAACGGTTGATTGTAAATAGGCCACATCCTTGGGGTCTTCTTATTACCTTCATTGAGCTGATTAAAAACCCAGCATTCAAGTTCTGGAACCATGAATTTGTACACTGTGCCCCAGAGATTGAAAAGTGAGTTTTAAAATGCTTCTGTTTGGGTCTGAGTGAAAAGGCAGTTAGAGCTAATGCACATGATACCCTCAGGCCTAAAGTTTGCTGAAGTTAATTTTTACTTGTCTCCACTCTACAGGCTGTTCCAGTCTGTTGCACAGTGCTGCATGGGACAGAAGCAGGCTCAGCAAGTGATGGAAGGGACCGGTGCCAGTTAGATGAACTGTATTTCCCTTGCAGCGGCATCAACCTTGGTCCCACTGAACCAAGTTCATAAACTGAAGAATCCTTTCAGCTCCTCCTGACTTTCCCAGCCCTTTGGTTCTTGGGTGTCTGCCCCATCAACTGCTGGGGTTGGTCTCCTGTCTATGTGGGCAAGTTCCAAAGTTTAAATGCATTTTTTTTTTGACTCTTGGCCAAAATTTAGAAGATGCTGTGAATATCATTTTGAACTTGTGTAAATATATGAAAGAGAAAACTTTTGTCTGGAACTTCTTGGGTTTGTGCAAAGTACATAAACTAGTACCTTGTGATAGGCAGTTGGTGGCGTGCTCTTGCATCAGGGCATAACATCGTGTCTTCTGGCATCAAATTGTGACATTCTGAAGAATAGCAAAATATTAAATTCACAACATTTTTTTAAAAATGTAGTTAGGGAAGCTTGGAAAAGTTACTAAAAATGTAGACACGTTACATTGGTAGGCTGGGAACACAGGAAGGTTGAGCCCCATGGGGGATTGTGTGGCTTTTCTTTCTCCATAGCTACCTACAGGCAAAGCAGTTGAATCTGTTTCTTGGTCCTGAGGGAGAACATACTTGAAGAGGAACCATCTCTGGTCTGGGGCCCCATCACCATGCTTAGGCTGGAAATACTAGTTAAAGAACAGAAGTCAGAAGGACTAAATACAGTTGCTTCTTTTTGTAAGGATCTTAAATGTTGGTGAACAGCTAGGCCCATGTTACATTTTGTAGCCTTTGCAGTTTCTGGGCCCTAGCTCAGCTTTTTTGTATGTGTGAAGCCGGTAAACATTAAAGTCATAACATGCACACGAGTCCACTGTGCCTTTCTCAGTAACAGCAGCCAGTGCTGGTGAGGAAGAAAAGTGGACAGTCCAGTCACTTAATGACCAAACTTTTCCATTGCTACTTATTCTTTTGGAGTCCTGCTACTGTGTACCCATCTCCTGCCTCACTTTTTGTGTATCTTTTCTGCCTCAACAGGAGGAAGCTGTTGGAGCAAGAAAATCTGTGTGGTTAAACTGAATTTTAAAACTTCTTTAGGTGTTCTTTTGGTATAGGTAGTATTTGAAACAATTCCACTTAAAATTTACCTTTCCAAATGAGGTTTGGGTGCCCTTCATGTCCTTAAAGGGTGCATTGTGACTCTGAGAGCCAACTTTAGACTAGATTGAAGGTACAGTAAGCCACACTTAAGTTCTCTACAGGAATCAGAAAGGTTGAACTTCTCAAAGTTGAGCTCCGTCCATGATATTTATTAAATTCTACTATTTAAATCTATTAAATCTGTTGGAATTAGTAAGAATAGAATGTTCTGAGTTAATTGACAGTGATTACCAAATGTGAGCTCAGTCCTACAATATCCACATGTAACTCGCTTCCTTTTAACTGCCTAACATCAAAAGTCCCAAATTTCCAACAAAACATGAGCCTAAAACCAAGCTTCTCACTGCTGGGTATTCAGGAAGCTTTTAACTTGTGAGTTCCAACAAGTGATATAAGATCATCTTCTGACCATATCTGACCTGTAAGGCTTGCTGTTCCCGCCAGCTGAGCTGGGCATAGACCTCCTTATTACCAAGTAAATCTTGCTCAGTTTTTAAGTCTGTGGCATAGGTCTGTAGGGTCAACAGAACGCTGTCTCGAAGAAGCCGTCTCCATGACTCTTGGAGCTTGGGAATATTTATGATGGCCAGGCCGTCCTCTTCCCTTTCTTCCTCTCCCCAGCCAGGCTGCTCTTCATAGGCGCTAAACTCCTCAGGAGACATGCACAGTACCTGCATGGAACATGGGTCCTTTACTTAGGATGTACTATCTGTGAGCTTTAACACACATGCCACTATAGAAAACTGGGTAAATACCAGCACTCCATACCCTGGCATCCCTGTCCCTCTACCTTGAGTGTGGTGGCTAGCTCCTCTTCAGTCAGCACCTCCTCACGACCAATTACAAAGGCTCCTTCTTCCCCTACCATGTCCAGTTTGCACAAGAAATCCCAGCGTTCACACAAGAGCAGCCTTTCAGTTTCATCCTTTGTTCCTATGAAGTAATGGATGAAACTATCAACCATCATCTTGAGCACGGCACGTGCTTCCACAGACATTATGAACCTGGGGTGGGCAGACGCACCCTGCAGCGCAGCATCTCGGACTGTCACCATCTGAATGTCAGCTGTGTCATTTGTGTTGTCAGGGTAGGGCTCAGCAAAACCGTACATATGAATCAGCTGCCAGTTAGCCATTTGCCCGTATGTGTTGAAGATTTCATGACCTTTAGGAATGGGCTGAGTAGCTACCATCCGGAGAGAATCCTTGGGTATAAAGAGAAAAGCTGTGGACACGCCTTAGCCCCCACCAGCCTATGAAGATTACTTCCCTCTCAGAAGAGCCTATTTGACTGTGGACTGAGACTACATACCACTGTCTACTGTTATACCCTGTATTACAGACCAGAATGAAACCAACTTTAGAGGTCAGCCCAGTATATATTAGGTGCATCTATGTGTGCTTATTTGCACTTAAACGTCACTAGCTTAAAAAAAAAAAAAAAAAAAAAAAAACAAAGTTAAGGCAGGCCTGGTGATGTAGACCCAGAGCTCTGGAGACAATCTCTTGAGGTCCAGGGTAGCCAGAGCTACACAGTAAGATCTTGTCTTAAAAGATTAGGTGAATATCACATCTGAAGATAAGGCCTTAACAAACAGACTAAAACTGGAAGCTGTCTGGGCCTGGAACCTTCACTCATGCCCAGCCTCCTAAGATTACCGGTGTAAGCCACCAGCTCGGATTATTTCCCAGCTTTTACATCACACTCACACGTGTGTCCACATAGGATCAACACTTAACGTGGGGCCTTACTTTGCTTCTGGCCCATGAACATTTCCACCTTTTGAGAAGTACTGCTACTGCTGTTACAAAATGCTGTCCACAGGGCCTGAGGTGACATGACAGAAAGGCAGGCCGAATTTTTGGTGGATTTAAGGTGTGCCCACAATCTCAGTGTAACCTGACTTGAAAAGCACACAGGAGAACAGCTAATCTCACTTTTACATGAGCAGGAAAATGGAGCCCAGGAATTTGACTGGTAATGCACGTAACCTAAGCAGGCGTAGGTCCACTCACTGCAGAGTACTCTAGATTGGCATTATGATTGGCTATGTGGTTTAGTATGTCTGCAGCAGGCACCATCAAGGGGGAGTTGGGCTCCTTTTCAGCATCATCTTCCTCCAGAGGTTCTTGAAAGCTGCCGCAAAGAGAACTCAACTAAGGCCCAGTCTTGGGTGAGGGGCCTGGAGTTCATTGTTCTTTCCCACCTTGGCCCTCAATGTTCTAAAGATGAGGGTCTGCTCCTCTAGGCTTTAATCACTGACCTATAAGCCATCACAAGGGCCACGAGCTGGCGATAAAGTTCCAGGGAGCGAACGGAGGGGCTGAAGAGATCCGAATGAGCCTCCATGAAGGGCAGGACGATGGAATAGTATTCGCTACGGATGTTCACCAAATCCTTCTCCACCGCCTCCGGAACACCGGTACCCTTTAGAAGGCGCAGCCGCTCCTCCTCTGGCCTGCAAGGACAGCCCACCCAGGCCCTTCACAGCCTGCAGCTCTCGTGGAGCAGGTACCCCGTGCCCAAAGCAAAGCAGCTGAAACAGGTTTTCCCAAGCCCTTCCCTCGGCTCTCACCAAAACATGGGATGCTCCAAACGCCCCAGCTCTGGCCAGAGCGCGATGTAGGGGCTCCAGGGTGAGGCTGGGGCCTGCAGCTCGTGGAGAAGCGCCAGCAGCAGCGGCACCCACCCCGACAGGCTCTGCAGGGCGCCTCGCTCTAGGGAAGACACCGGGTGAGGGCCCAAGCACGACTCCCTTGCTCGTCCGGGAGCCAGCCCCCGGCCCCTTACCCACCTCGCTCCAGCAGGCCGCTGATGGAACAGGTGTGGGGAGACAGAAGCGCGGAGCGCGGCACGGCGAACAGCAGCTCCCCGGGCTGCACGCTCTCCAGCGCCACCATGCCGTAGCCGGCCACCGTGCCCTGCCGGGTCACCGCCACTTTGGGACTCAGCTCCAGCCCCACTCCGGCGCACCAGCGCAGGAAGCCGGCCACTGCGTCGCCCCTGGGCTCGCCGCCGCTGGGCCCCGCCGCCGCCAGCGGGGAAAAGGAAGTGACGTGGCCGCGCCCGGGACCCGAAGGTGGCAGGGGCGCGCGGGCAACCCTCGGGGCCGGGCAGGGCGCGGCGACGGACGAGCAGCCACCTACCCGCGCGCGCTTGGCCGGGGCCGCCATGCCGCGAGGCGCCGCGTCCTCCCCGCGTTTCCGGCGCCGCAGAACGCGAGCGGACGGGGCGGGGCTCGGCGTGCGTCCGCTGAGCGGCTCTGGGCTAGAAAGCGCGCGTTGCCCGAGTCCACCGCCCAGTCCACCGCCGGGCTGCCGGGCGCTAGTGCTAACCTTCTATCTCGCTGACTTTCCTTCCGTTAGTCGGTTTGCACATGTGTTTGAAGTGACCTGAAAGGTTTCCACATCTAGTAAGACACACATTTCCACAGTTGCTAACTTACCCTTGTTTTCACTCTTCTGCAGAGATGATAGAACCCTACATTTTACTTTCTAAAAAAAAAAAAGCTGATGCAACCGGGCGTGGTGGCGCACATCTTTAATCCCAGCCAGCACTCGGAAAAGCAGAGGCAGGCAGATCCCTGTGAGTTCAAGGCCAGCCTGGTCTAGAAAGCGAATCCAGGGCAGCCAAGGCTACAAAAAGAAACCCTGTGTCGCGGGGGTGGGTGGAAGCAGATACATTGGAAGGAGTCAATACCAGGTGAATGAATGATGGAACAAATGGTTGGATATGGAGAAGGTGGCAGTGTAATTCCAGTACTTGGGAGGCTGAGGTAAGACTGGATTACTGGGAGTTCCTGGCTAGCCTAGCCTATGGACTGAGACCACGTTCCAAAGTAACAAAAACCAAGCAAACAAAGTAGTGTGCCCTTGCTTTGAAGAGGCCTTACTAAGCTATTTGCTCATTGCGAAACTGAGAGCCAGCGTCAGGGTTGGTAAAATTATGTCCCACAGTATACAGCCTCGTGGTAGAACCTTGCCCACCATGTGTGAACACCATAGTTGAAGCCCCATCACCACAGAAAGAAAAACTAGGCAGGGTGGCCCACATAATCCTGACGCCCAGAAAGCTGAAGCAGGATTGCCGAGTGTTCAAGACCAGACTGGGCTACAGAATGAGACTGCCCAACCCTCACTCCCCCAAAAATGTTTGTAACGGGCACTGACTATATAGGGATACACAGAGAAACAATTGCTATCCTTCATCAAGGCCAAGGTGGCCAGGTAACCTTCCTTGCGATAGAAACAGCACACTCATACACTTAATTTCTTTATTAGTTTTTCTGCACAGTTAACTTTCTACATCAACAGGGGTTTTTGTTTTGCATTTTGTCACCTCAAAATCTCTTATCAGCCACCAGAATACACAAAATTAGGCTCTTTGTACAGAGAGGAAAGTAATGAACTCCATTAAAAGTTCACCTTGACCAAAGAGGAAACAACCACCAGTGGGAAAGCACACACACAGGAGAACCTGATATACAGATATATATATAATGTATAGGTATTTATAGATATCTTAGGAACACAGCAAGAAGATGTCCAATACTCGAGTGCTTATCTACTGTAAGGGATTAATTCTACCAGCTTCAAACAGTCACGTTCAGTATTCACGGAAGCACGTGAACAGAACCGGGGATAGAATACGCTCCATGGGACACTAGAGCACGCTGGAAATGGCTTACGGTTATTACAGAAAGGGGCGGCCTGTGCCACGACATACCCCTACAGACACAGCTCTTTAGGGCTTTCTCCTCTGGGCGTGACAGTAGGTGAGAATGAATAACCAAGCTGAAGCAATGGCTCCAGTTTCTGGGCTGGGAGAATCTACTTGGTAAGGTGGGCAGACAGGAAAACAGCATAGTTACGGGTTGCAGGAGGCTGCGGACATTGAGAGCCTTTGGCCTCTACCTTTGTTCACCTCAAGGTCTGCCATCTCCCACCCAAGGACCAGGCAATCTCCAACCCCTCCAGCAGGCAGAGGTCATAGTATCTTTCTGTCTTGGGCCAGATCTCTCTAATAAACTTACTTCTCAAGTGGCACCTGTGACACGCTGGCCCAGGTTGACTAGGTTGACCACAAACACTCTTGGTGGTATCTGAGACAAGAGGGGCCTATAGGACTCTTGAGTTCCTGCCAACTCCCAAAGGGGTCATCATGAAATTCTGCTACGCACAACACACAAAGGACAGGAGACCAGGTGATCTTATCTTCAGGATGGGACCTGGTCCTGGGGTGGCAGAGTATGGGGGTTTCTGCCCTCGGGGCTTTCCAGCACCTGTCCTGCCCAGAGAGTGCCAGGAAAAGAACTGCTTAAAGCGCCCTCTTGTGGCCTCCATCCTCATGACTGTCCCTTCCTTCCATCAGAATAGGTGTGCTTGGTGCAAGGGTTATAGAAAAGGGACCCTCTGAGGTCTAGGGCTCCCAACTGGTCTGACTCCTACCCACATCAGAGCCTAAGATCAGCACCCACCATCTTCAAACCCCATGCTGTCTTCACATCTTCCAGCCCCAGAGCGTGGGCCATGCTCTTTCTTCAGTACTGTGTCCTGTCTCCTGGCCCCATCCCAGGGCCATGGTGGGATGGTGAGAGGGGCCAAGTCAACCAATGAACACGCTGAGTGAGACGGGAGTGTGTACGGTGAGCCCTGCACCACCCAAGACTGTTCTGCTGTATTTTCTAAGGTGGATCCCCTCATTTTTTTTTTAAATAAAAGAGAAATAACCCCATGTCCTCCCCTTCACTCTCACAAAAATAAACTAAAGGGAAGATGAGCCGGTGCGGAGATGGCAGTGGGACCTGGGGGCAGGTAAGCAGGCGTCTTGTGCAGGGCGAGGGCTTCAGCAGGACACCTCCATGGTGTGGTTGACCTGGCCCATGCCCTCACTGCTCTCTGAGTGGGCGCAGGGCTGTGGGCGGCTGCCATCCACAGAACTGGCGCTGGTGAGGGATGCGGTGCGTGAGCGCGCGAGGCGTGTCATGCTGGCTGAGGGCACTGTGGAAAAAGAACAGAGGGTTCTGAGGACAGGCAGGGTATGCACCGCCAGGCGAGAAAAGGACAGTGCAAGCAAAGCGGCCAGTGAGACCCGTCTTGCCACAACACAGAGGCCCATCCCAAGCCAGGGTGCTGGCACTGGCTCCACCAGGCTGAGGCATGCAGGGCCAGCAACAGTGAGCAGGCCAAATGAGCTACAGCTAGCAGGGTCCTAGGTCCCAGCAGCTACCCAGAGCTATGGCTAGGGCAGGGCAGGTGGTGATTAGCCACCCTGGGCTGCGACAGGAAGTCACTGTGTGGCCAACCAGACCTGCATCTAAAGGGTGACAGGGTGAAAGGCAGGGTCGCTTTTGTGAGGGCCACAAACAGCCGCAACCTGCCCTAAATCTTGCCTCTACTACTGTAGGTATGGCCAGTCCACCTAGAGGCTGGGCCAGGGGCAGACAGGATGCCTACAAGGCCAATCTAGCACTGTGTTCGAGGTTCTGCTCCTAACTCCCAAAGCTCTGGAAGCCCCGCAGCCCACAGCAACCTAGAAATGAGATAACTGCTCTGAGATCAGCCAGCATCAGGTCCCACACGGGACAGAACCCTGAGCAGACCAGGGTCTGCGGAAGAGCCGGGATCCTCTGGGGCTTTGAGCTGAGCAGGACACAAGAAGATTCCAAACCACAGCAAGACAGTGTGGCTGCAGCAGTGCAGAGGAGCAGGGGCGGGGAGGGGTGTCCATGCATCAGGAGGGGGCCGGGGCTACCTGCTCCTCCACTCAGCCTTCGGTCCTTCAAGTGTGCAACTAAGAGAGAAGACAGCCAGAGAGGGCGAGGGTAGGGGGACACAGAACATGGTGAAGATTGGGCCAGGCCAAGGGCATTGAGATGGGCCAAGATGAGACAAACAGTCAAGGGAGTGAGGGCCAGGGCTTCAGGAAGCCCACCGCTGCCGCCCACGGAAGCCACACGACACGACTGACTGCAGTCTCTGGATCCCCGCCTCTCCCTCTTCTCCATCCCAGGCTGTGGTTGAAGGCCCACAGAGGCCACATCCTAGACCCAGTGCCCTCACCACTCCAACAGTCCTGCACATAAAGGAGAGGAGGCCGTACCACAAAAGCCCCTTTGACTCCTGGGATGCCTGCTCTGCTTCTCTTGAAGCCCAAAGACACACTCCAGTGCTCACAAGTGTTGCTCCTTCTTGGCCTCACAGATGTGTGCCAAGCTCCAGGAGTTCTCGAGCCCAGCCTGGAGCTCTGGGTGGTCCTCCCTGCCTGCCTGTGCGCCTCTCTTTGTCCTACTTCTTCCTGGGAGGCTGCCAGGGCAGGAGGAGACCCTATTTGCTGTCCCAAGCAGAAGCTGAAGTATTCGGTGGGAGGCACCAAACTGAGGGAGAGCAGTGCGTCTCCTGCAGTTGTGTTGGAAGGAAGGAAACCAGAGGTGCAGGAAGCACACAGGAGCCGTCAGAATCACGTGCACGCCTGTGTGTGAGCGTGTGTGCATGTGCATGAACCTGTGTCGGGGGCTGGAGGGGACAGGCTGAGTCTCATTACTGTTACCTAAGGGGATGTTTCGGGAAGAACGGGGGACAGAGCCGTTCCTGGAGGATCCTCAGTCTCACCTTCAGCAAGTCTGAAGGCGGTTCCACTTCCCTTTTCTAGTCCCAGACTCCATGGGCCTGGGTGCTAACTAACCTACTGGGACAAAGGGCCCACCAGGGTGTGGGTGACTCATCTGAAACAGGCTCCCTTAACAGTACCCAGCGTCGGGCCTGGACCCCCAAGGGCTGGAGGGAGAATCCTCTTCCAAACAGGCCCTAACACTGGGCCCAGAATAGTGCCTGAGGCTCCAAGGAGGCGGGGAAGCTGGCTGGCCTGGGACACATACCTTACACGTATGCAGAGTCTGGGGAGAGTGGCCCAGCTTTTGGGGCCCAGCTGACACAGAGCATACTCATCCACGGTCTGCCCAGCACATGGGTGATGTGTCCCTGTCCCTAGCCCGTTCTGGGCGGAGGTGTACTTACTGTAGCCCATGCCTTGCAGGAAGTATTTGAAGGCCTCAGTCAGCTTCCCTGGCTGCAGTAAGATGGACAGAACATGCTCTGATTGGCTGCCTGGGACCAGTGGGGAGGATGGGGAGCCCTCATCCCCCCTACCCCACCCCCACCCCCACCAGCAGGCTGGGTGACAGAAAG